ATGCAAGGCATGCGCTCTACCACTGAGCCACCTTCCCAGCCCCAAGGCAGGGCCTCTCTTCACCAAGGTCTGGTCACTCTCTAGGAGAAGCAGTTCTTCCACAAGGTGAGCGAGCGCCTCTCCCGCCCCAACATCTTCATCCTCAACAACCGCTGGGACGCATCTGCCTCGGAGCCCGAGTACATGGAGGAGGTGGGTTCCTTGTTCAGCATCAGATCTGGTGGCTTCTGTGACCTGGTGTCGTGGCTAGACTCTGTGTCTCTGCTGTGTCCTTCCCTTCACTCCCTCACTGTGCTTCCTTCAACCCCTTTTCCTGCCTTCCCCTCTCCCACCCAGTCTGAAGAGTGTCCCCAGGCTGTGTCTTTGTTTGGGGCTGGTACTCAATTTGGTTCATAAAAGTTGATTATGTAAGCCGGGCACTGGTGGCTCACGCCTGTAATCCTAGTTACTCAGAGGCTGAGATCTGAGGATCATGGTTCAAAGCCAGCCCAGGCAGGAAAGTCTATGAGACTCTTATTGCCAATTAGCTACCAGAAAACTGGAAATGGTACTGTGGCTCAAGTGGTAGGGTGCTCACCTTGAGCTGAAGAGCTCAGGGAGAGTGCCCAGGCCCACAGTTCAAGCCCCACAACTGACAGAAAAAGCCAGGCACAGTAGATTGGGTGAATCGTGATTGGAAGCCCTCCCAGGCAAAAAGTTTGCAAGACTCCATCTCAACCAATAAATAGCTGCATGCATGTGTGCACACATGTTATTCCAGCTGCAGTGGGAAGCATAAATAGGAAGATTACAGTCCAGAAGACCCTGTATCTCAAAAATAAAGTCAGGAGGGTTTGAGGGGCATGGCTCAAGTAGTAGATTGCCTGCTTAGTAAGCTCAAACCACAGTAATGCAAAAAAAAAAAAAAAAAGGGTGGGGTGCTATGGCTTCAGCATGAGACCCCCAACCACTCGAATCACTCTGTCTGCTTGGGCTCCAGGTGCGGCGGCAGCACATGGAACGCTGCACCAGCTTCCTGGTGGATGAGCTGGGTGTGGTTGATCGAGCCCAGGCCGGGGACCGAATCTTCTTTGTGTCTGCCAAGGAAGTTCTCAATGCCAGGATCCAGAAAGCTCAGGGCATGCCAGAAGGAGGTAAACACAGAGCAGAGGTCCTCCTCTTCCCTGAGGTTCCAGATGCTGGGTCTCAGCCGAGTCAGGTGGTGGGAATTGCCCAGGGATGGAATGATATGAGCTGGACGTGTGAGGCCCCTTCTGTCTGGCCAGTACCTGCTGGCTGTGTCTCTGATACTTCATTTTCCTCTCCTGCCAAGCTATTTCCTAGCTAATTCCATGCCATCCTCCTAGGGGGCGCTCTCGCTGAAGGCTTTCAAGTGAGGATGTTTGAGTTTCAGAATTTTGAGAGGAGATTTGAGGTAAGTCTGATTCTGGTGTATCTGGCTGGCCAGGTCCTGGCAGTGAAAGCCAGAGGCTGACCCATGGTCCAGGTCCTGATGACCTCTTCCTCCTCTTCACTCCTGTGCTTTCCAGGAATGCATCTCCCAGTCTGCAGTGAAGACCAAGTTTGAGCAGCACACGGTCCGGGCCAAGCAGATTGCAGAGGCCGTTCGCTTCATCATGGACTCTTTACACATCGCAGCTCAGGAGCAGCGGTAAGAGCCTGCATGCTGGGAGATGGCGGTGTGCCACCCTGCCTGTGCAGCCAGGATCTGCCTGCGCTCACACCTCAGACCATGCCAAAGCCGTGTAGACACCTGGTGAGGAGAGGCACCCCTGGGTGCCTGAGCACCCCGCTGGCTGGGGCAGAGCAGTGCCCGTGCTAGAGATCTCAGTCCTCACTCTGGATATTGCAGCTATGTTCAGCTCCTTTCCACGTTTGTTTGTTTTTTTGTCAGTCATGGGGCTTGAACTCTGGGCCTGGGCCCTGTCCCTGCGCTCTTCAGCTCAAGGTGAGTGCTCTACCACTTGAGCCACAGCGTCTCGTTTTCTGAGTGGTTTATTGGAGATAAGAGTCTCACAGACTTGGGGCTGGGAAGGTGGCTCAGTGGTAGAGCGCTTGCCTTGCATGCCTGAGGCCCTGGGTTCAATTCCGCAGCACCACATAAG